GGGGGGGGGGGGGGGGGGGGGAGAAAAGGAGGGTATGTTGGTGAAAAGGAGCAGCGGGAGCCCAAATTGCTCAGAGTCATTGGAGAGGACAGAGGACATCACAGCTTCGTTCTAACAAACAGGTGAGTGGAGACATGACAACATCCAGAACCTGTCAACAGCCTCAACAAAGGATTCTGGGAGCAGAATATTCTAGACGTGTTATTATATTTGCCAATAACTGATTTTTAAAAATCATATTTCCAATAACTGAACATTTTCCTGCCAATCTTTGCTTTAACGCGGTGCTGCACGTTTGTTTACCTGTCTATTAAAAGCTTTGTCGTGATGAGACAGATCCAGTTTAATGTGATAGGACAGTTTGTACTGACTTCTTTAAAGACGCAACGCAAGACCTGCAATGGAGATTAAAGTTTCTTAAAACATCAGAATAAATATATACATTTGTCATTTCAGAATAAACATATTTGACATTAATGATTAATGATCCAGGCACAAAATATGATCGTGATCAGTTTTAGTCTCTTGGTTCATTATGACGACATGAGTCTGAACAGCATCGACTTGGGAATCAAATCCATTTATAAAAAGTGAGATTTAACTTTTACCTCTTCGGCTTCATGATACCGATGTGTGAACTCTTCAAACAGGCTGGAATTCCATCGGTTGGATTTCAATACTATATTTTCACAGCAGTAAGTTTTCTCTCATGCTAACTCTGCTCAAATGAGCCACATGGAGATGATGAGCGACTCCAGAAGTTTTCAAAATCCATTTCACTTCTGGAAACAACAACAACAGCATCTGTTCTACAGCCGCAGAAAAGTTTTACGTTTCCCTATTTGCTAAAGTTTTTCTAAAACCATTTCAATCCAGCTGCTATTATTATTATTGCTTCAGAGAATCACAAACATCCAGAGTATTTTTTCTCTCTGAAGCAGAATGATAGTTGGTGAAACATCCTGCGGTGCTGACGTGGTGGTGACTCGCTGGAGAGAACGATTAATGTTGAACTCTCCTCATCAAGATGGAATCTGATTAGAATTTTTTTTAAAAGACTAATGACAACTAAATGATCAAATTATTAAACAATATGGGAATTTAGTAAAGAGCCAACCTCCATCATGCAAAGGCCAGAATCTGAGAATGCTCTTTTTCTGCACCTGATCATTTTCTATAAGCAAAAAGAGAAGTTATATTCAAATCTTCTCACGGTTAAAGTTTGCAGCACAGTTTTACTTTGACCGTTTCCTGTTAGCAGATCTGATTCCATCAGTTTCACCACTGAGACTCAGAGACAGACAGCTCCACACTGTGACTGTGTTCTCGTCTCCTGAGTGAACGCTCCACAGTGTGGTTAGCATAGTGCTAATTGTTGCAGCCGTGTCCGTTTACAGAGTCAAGACTGAGATTTCACCTCAGTGTATTTTCAGCCTCATCAGATGAACTGTTAAACCACAACTGATAATCTCCTTCAATTAAAGCTGTCGCTCACCGATCCCGACCATCTGCATCGCAGTCAGTCATATCACTTTTAGAGAAGAGCTGAGCCGAAGGTCAAAGAGTCAAGATTCTTTATTGGCCTTTTCCTGCTAAAGACAACGACACAACCAATTAGAGGACGGAGAGAGAATATAACAAAAACAAATCCCTGTGAGTCCACGGGAGTGCTGCAGGAAAATGTCCAGAAAGTTCACAGCGAGCGAATCCGCGAGGAGCCAAAGAGGACGCAGACATCGACTTGGAAAGACAAAAGATAAAATATCAGGCCTGTTATGAGAGAAGTCGTATAAACTTCCAAGCTGGAGACGTAAAGTGTTGGTGTCTGCAGCCGGACTGGGCCGACTTAGAACCTCGTTCGTTGAGTGAAACCCTCCACGCCACTGGCACTGGCCTGTGATTAGTGAGTGTTGGAGAATCTTAAGTGAGTGACAACGGTCCTGCATGTTGTCAGCAGGAGCGAGTCATCCTCAGCGGTGATTTACAGTCGGTCAGCCGCAGCTGAGCCGGGCGCCATGGAGATACAGATCTATTCCTGGGAGAGGGAGGGAGGGATCCCTGCTCTGGAGCGACCAACACCCCCCCCACATTGTTGGCTATAAAAAGGAAAGTCCTTCTGCACCTTATCAGCCAGTCCAAGTACACATGCAAATATTCCAATACACAATAATGTGCATTTAATTTAAAAAAACGGAAAATAGCCAAACGTTTAAATCTTTGTTTTCTCCTACTGGTCTGGGATCTGGTAAATCCGGTGACTTCTGCAGGTTGTGGGAGGCAAAGATGTTTAATCTCACTTTCAACGTGATGATGGTGAATATGTGCAGAACAGAAGCTGAGCAGGAGGCGGTGAAAGATGAGAACTAACACAAAGAGAAAGAGAGAGGCCTCCGCTGTGAACGGCATGTCAGCTATTTGTGGAAGAGGGACGGACGTGTTGTCACTGCATGAAGATGCAGTGAGAAGAGTAAGAAGCACTGACAAGTGCGCTGGCCGAGCTCCAGTGAATGCAACGAGTCTGCGTGCCGTCACGTTCGCTAGTGCAAACTGTAAAGTTGTGGACGAGCTGTTGTCGAGGCGTCAAATGAAAAATCTGATTTAGCTTCTTGAAATAAAAGGTAATATTTCATTTTTTTATTATTTTCACAGTAAAACCATTAAAAGCAGTAATTTGATTTTACTCTGTGATCTTTGTACGAAAAGACTGAAATGAAGAAGTTTGATCGGTGAACCAGAGTCAGCTCTGGGAGACACGTTCCTTCACGGCCGTGAAGTTATTTTCAGTTAATCTCACGAACACAAGAACTAAAGGCTGAAAATAGGTCGTTAAAAATATAGTGACAATGAAAAGAATGTGAGCTCAGTGCAGTTACCTGGAAACATGTACTGGGGAAAGTTTTTACTTCTGCAGCTCTGGAAAGAGTTTTTCTCTCACAGGAGATCGTTGAGGTCCGACTCGATCACATCAACAGAAACAAACACTCGGACACTTTACGTCAGGGCTGCAGGAAAAGTTCTGGAAAACTTCCGGAGCAACCGACTCCAACATTTTCATTCTCACATAAGGCGACTCTGCAAAATGTCTGAAAGCACCATTTACATATTAAGACTTTATTTTCTAGAATAAAATATACAGGATATCTGTGTCCCTTAAGTTTGAAAGTTTCTCCCACTGTCCAGAAGAATAATGTAAAATTAATTTGATGCTAAAAGAGAAGTGAAAATAAATAGAGATTAGATTTTAAAATCCTAAAAGACGAGTTCAGGTAAGTTAATTCTTAGATTTAAGTATTTTCAGAGAAAGAAAATAAAGTAAATGTTTGAATAGTGAGAAATAGAAACAAACTGCATTTCTTTCTTTATATATTTGACTGTTTCTGTGCTTTTGAAATGAATAAACCTCCAGTGGCTGCTCTACTTTCCTCAGAGATCATTATGGTTTCATGTTTTCTTCTCACGCTGCTCCTCTAAATGACGGGGGGGTCGTAACCAAACCTTCTCAAAGGCCAGGGGAAGCCCTGGAGATAGAGACCAGGCCAGAGGGGTCTCACACTATGTTTAGCTCTGAAAACAGAGAAGATGGCGTTACAGGTTGGGCAGACAGGGAAACCTTCGCCCCCCGTGGATGAAGGTCCGTGGAGGACGGAGGGTTTGAATGCCGAGCGGAGCACAGAGGACGAGCTGTGAAGTTTCTCTGAGGCCAAATGTGACAGATCCGTCTTTTGTTTATATTTTGTTCCAGATTAGAAAGATCCAGAGCTGCAGAGTGTGACAGAGCAGCAGAGAGGAGGACGACGCTGGAGAGGTCTTCAGATTCTTCTGTCAGCCGCTGCAGCAGATCTCGTGAGTTGAATGTTTTTAATGTCACTTCACCTGCAGCAGGACAGAACAGCAGCTTAATGGAGATTCAATATTCAGTGAATGCATCTTTCAGTCGTGTGAACTTGTGTCTTTCTGTCCAGAGTGGACAGAATTAAATATCTAGATAAACCTCTCATGTCTAAATGTCCCCGGGACTCTGTTTCCTTCATGTCCAGTCATCAGCAGACGTCCGGAGTCTGGAGACGTGGGAGCAAAGACAGGTCACACAGCCCAGCGAGGAGAGCTGCACCATGGGAATCAAAGACGACGACTGTGGTTACAAGAGAGGTAGAGTTACGTCCTCTTACGTTTTGGTTTATGATTTTACTTCTTGTAAATGTATTTACACATCAGAGATCACTTCTGTCTTCTCTCTCCGCTGGCAGACGGCGATGACCCCAGAGCCGACCTCGTCCAAACTGACGGAAAGACCGGAAGCTTCAACACACTGCACACAACCTCGGAAACAGAAACCTCGGTACGAGAGTCTTCTTCTTTATTCTCCTCCTCTGCGCTGATTGTGTCCATGATAATAATAATAATAATAATATCTCCACTGGACGTCCTTCATTGTCTCAATATGTTCTGTTGTTGATATTGTCCCCCCTGTGTCTTTTTCCATATGTCGACCTGATTGTCTCTAATGTCAAATGCCTTCGTCACTTCACCATCGACTCAGCTGGAGGACGCCTCACTCCGCCTCGAATCTGCTTCTCTTGGTGACAGCGCTGTCAGTGCCGGCGGTGACGGAGTGGAGAAGAGTCACAAGGTGCAGAGCCGCGAGGACGAAGAAGAGGGACACCTGGTCTATCACGTCGGCCTCGTGATGAAAGCAAGATGTATTCAACGCCTTCTTTTGTCTTTTTGTCCTTGTCGTGTTTCAATGTGTTCAGTTTATTCAAACCAGCAGAAAAGTTGACATTACTCTCACGTAGTCTTTCTACAGGACGTCAGTTCTCATGTGAAGTAAAACACCAGTTGGTAGCAGTGAGTTTGTTGTTGCTGTGAACACAGAGCTGTAATATAATATACTTTAATAAGCTGTTGTGCCTGAAACCTTAATTATCTCTGTGGAAAATGACTCTACTTCTACTTCATAACCTCAGTAAACATTTATCTCAAGAGTTTATTCATTCTTGGTTCCAGATGAGGTCGTCTCTACGCTGGGAGCTGGAGCCTTTGGAAAAGTGGTCGAGTGCATCGATAGAGACAAGTAAGAAAAGCAGAGTTACTGTGTTTGGTCCTCGTTTAAACCGAATGCAGCAGAAACACATTTAAAGTGCTCGTCTGTCTTCGACAGGGACGAGCGTGTTGCTGTGAAGATCGTGAGGAGCATCGACTGTTTCCGTGAAGTCGCCAGGTCTGAGATCTCAGTTCTGGAGGAGATCAACAGTCTGGATGACGACAACAGATTGTGAGTGAAGCTGCAGATGGAAAAAAGTCCTGAAGGCCTCGTTAGTCAATCGAATAAATATGAGTAATCTATTGTTTGTTATTTAGTTTAATTTGCTCAAGTCAAAGAAAACTTGTTTTTAAATTGATAAATATTTAAATAAAGTCGTCAGGATCAGTTTTGTATTTTAATTCGTCAGCCTCTTTGGTTGTTTAAACGCCGCTGCTCACGTTGATGGATCACTTCCTGTCTCCAGTGCCTGCGTGCGGATGCTGGACTGGTTCGAGCACGAAGGTCACATCTGCATCGTGTTCGAGCTGCTCGGCCTCAGCACCTTCGAGTTCCTGCGCCAGAACCACTTCCTGCCGTTCAACGTGGAGCAGATCCGGCACATGGCCTTTCAGATCTTCAGAGCCGTCTGCTGTGAGTCCAGTGTGTGTCTGTGTCTGTGTGTGTGCATGTGCGTGTATGCACAGTAACAATATGTGTGTGTCTCTTTGTGTGTTTTAGTTCTGCACCGTAACAAACTGACCCACACAGACCTGAAGCCAGAGAACATCCTGTTTGTTTCCTCCGACTACGAGTTGAAAGACGAGAAGGTAAAACTTCTGTACATGTGAGTCAGCTGAGAAAACAGGAAGGAGAAATAAATCTGTGTGTGTGTGTGTGTGTGTGTGTGTGTGTGTGTGTGTGTGTGTGTGTGTGTGTGTGTGTG